TTGGTAATAAAAAGAGGGATGAGAGAGATTAAGAACTTCAACATATCTGGTAGAGATATTTGAAGTGATAATTTGTTGATGTAAAACAATATTTGATTGTGGTAATTGTAAATTGATAAAGTTTTAAAACAGGTTGAGTAGTAATAGAAATCTAAGCTAGAAATGGAATATATTAAATTTATTATGTTATCTGTGGGAAATAGAGAGATGACAGTGAATGTATTAAGTTGAGCTGTTTATGCATGTTTTTTACTTTGGAATGTTTGTTTACCCAAACACCACAGTGTGTCTTAAGTACTTTTTGTTAAAAATAAAAAACCAATGAAATATATTTTTAAAAAAAGAGTGCAAGTGGAATCATAGTCATGTCTAGAATACATGCTACTCTGAAGTTAAAGTGGAGCAGTCAGAGGATAATATAAAAGCACAGGTAATAGATAACTTGAAAATGCGGAGTTACTGCATCACTCTCTGTGAAACTTCCTGTTGCTTTCTTAGAAAAACCCATTGTGCTTTCCCCCATTCATAGAAATTGCAGACTTTAAACCACAGCTGATAAACATTGGTAACAACGACTTAAAAGGCGCAGTCAGCTCAATAATTGTGCTAGTAGACAGATGTCAACAACTATCAGGACAATTATGGGAAGGGTTATGAAAATATTAAGTGGTGGTATTTCATTGCTTATTAAATGTATGTTGCTTCTAATAAGTCAATTCTGAGCAGCTTACAAACCATAAAAAGATAAACATGAAAATTATAAAAAATATAATTACAACACCATATAAAAACTAGAACCAATGAGATTGGTGGCATGGCAACCACTTCCAGCAGTGCACACTCCCCTCAGGGCCCCAAGTCAACCAGCAAAACCAGGTTTTGGTACACTTCCGGAAGCTTGGAAGGATGGGAGCAGTTTTCACTTTGAATGGTAGAATATTCCACAGGGCTGGGCCACAACAGAAAAGGCTCTTTTCCTTGCTTCTGCCAGCTAGAATTCCTTGGCTGACAGGGTCAGCAGCAGGCCTCTTCCTCTGGTGCCAGTGGGGCAGACTAGTCTCATTGGAGCCGAATGGTTCCTCAGATATTCTGGCAAGCCTTATGCATCTGGAAGACTAAACATATATGTTTTCGTCTTAAACTGGGCCCCCGGGATCCATCCACTATGGCAGAATCTGGGCCAAAAGAGAGTCAGATATATTCCAATGAATATTTTGCACCAGTGAGATCTTTTTAAAGTGGAAACAGTGAGCTGAGAGTAGAACAGAAATATAAAGGGATAGAGGAATTGCAAAAACAACAGCAATTCTAAAGCTCTAACCTTCAAAGCATTCATATTTTATATAATGAAGTCTACAATTTTGCTAAATTTCAAACCAATACAGTAAAAATCTACAGAAAGTAATTTCATTATTTCAGTTTTGATCATATTATTATTATTATTTGTTAAATTTATTTGCCTCCTATCTCACCAGGGGGCTACTCTAGGTGACTTGTAACAGTAAAAACAGAGAAATGAAAAGAAATGTAAATATAGCAGTAACAAAATAATGAAACAATAAAATGACAATGAAAATACAGTAATATAATAAAAGATGGGTGGAAGAAGCAGGAAATGCAGGGGAGAGGTGGAGTCTGTGGTAAGATACTCCCTCATTGAGTCCCCAGGCCAATTGGCAATGCCAGGCCTTCAGACTCTTGTTGAAGGATTAGCAAGGCAGATCCATCCTGGCTGGATAAGTAGCCTGGACCCATGCCATTAAGGCTTTAAATGTCATAACTACCTCAAACTTCATTTGGAAGCAGACCAGCATCTTGTGTAATTTGTGGAGCAGAGGTGTAATATGGAACATTCTAGGGGCCCCAAAGATTGTTCAAGCTGCCACACTTTGTACCAGCCGAAGCTTCCAAATGGATTTCAGAGGTAGCCCCATATAGAGCCCATTGTAGTAGTCCAGATGAGAGATGACTAGACTTGAGTGACTGAATGCATGGAGTCCAGATCAAGGAAAGGACACAGCTGGTGCACAAAGTAAAGCTGTGCAAAGAGTCTCCTAGCCACATTTACCACCTGCTCTTTGAGTTCATGAGATCCCCTAAGTTGTGAACTAGATTTGAACAGGGTAGTGCAACCCATCCAGAAGTAAAGATGACCAACAGATGATCTGATTCAAAGGCTTTATGTGGACATTAAACAGTAGCAGAGAGATTTATATGTTCTTTTCTTATTCTCCAATGATATATTTTATGCAGTCCTGAGAAAGGTAACCTCCATGCTGACAAGATTTCAACATGACCAACAATTCAAGACAAATTACATCTAGTCTTGGTTTCTTCCAAAAGTGTGAACTAAAAACTAGATTAAACATGAACTAGAAAGGCCTTCTGTGGACATGTGGAAATTCTCCACCATTTTCCACATGTCTATGAGAAGCACCATCTACAAGTTATCAGTCAGAATGCCTGAAAAAGTTGTTTTGCTATCTTGGGTTAGAAGGTATTTTTTCATTTAAATAATGATACTCTTAATATTGAGAGCAGGGATCTGGACCAATACACCCATCCTTACCTAAAGACGTAGGCTAGAGTGTAGACCTTTTAACCTTACTATTGGCCACAAAACTCTAATTTAAAGCCCTAATTTGTTTAAGATGTGCAAATCTAAAGAAAACATATGTATATAGGTTGCTCTTATTCTTATCTATGGCCTTAGTTCCTCATGTATTTAGAGGCTATGCATTAAGTTTGTCAAGAGGATAGTGCTATAGTCAAAGGGTGTCAGTAACACTTTCTTTTAGAATGGCAAAACAAGACCTGCTTGGCTATTTTTCAGTGTCAAGGTAAGATAGAAGTGAACCTTTGCAGTTAAACGATAAAAGTTAGCAGAATTTAGCAAGCTGCTAAATGCCAAAGGAATAGAAGCCAACTCAGATACTTCATCATCCTTATAGTGCCATTTCCCAGGAAAAATTGCTTAACCAACTTATTACTATTTACCAATTTCCAGCATGTGAGAGCAATATTTCAACGTCTCTAGCAAAAACCTTAAATAAGGTTTGTAAAAAATGCCTAGCTCTTCTTTAAAAATTTGGTTAAATAAGTGGCATGGAGAAAAGGATTCATGTTGCATTTGCCTTGAACGAAGAACAGAAATCCAATGTTGAGCAATAAAAAAAAGTTCTGTAATACTTGCGCAATACACCCTATGGATCAGAGCTGCTTTTCTGACACCCCACCCATAATTATGAATAGGTTGCATCATTACATATTTATTATAAACTCAATCAGCAATATATTATGTACCTTGTTGAATATAATAAACTAACTTGAGAAATCGTTTCATGATAATTATAGAGTCAATTAAGCAATACTTTGTTGTAATTTTGTTCACGATGGTATCACGCCTTTTTCATTTTTTACAACCATCTATGGCTTAAACAATAAAAATTATTGTTTCATCATACACATTATTTAATTCTGGCTAATTTCTTACACTTTAATATATTGGCAAATGTAACTGATATTACGTTCTAATGTTCTAATTTACAACCAATTTGTAGATCACTAATTTGAGTTATCACTAAAATAATTTAGTGTTATACTGTTAAAACTTCCAGCTGTGTTAAAAATTTAAATGTATATTAAATAAGAACATTGAGTGCTTAAAAAGCAGGGTTGGTATTGATATGGTCAACTGTTTATATCTTATATAAGAAGAACTCATAAAAATGGTCTGTTTCAAACAAAATGGCATTTTGCAGCTGTTGAGGATACGCCCAAAATACCCAGTCATTTTCCGCATGAGACAGTGACTACAATTATGCAAGGCAGCCCAAAGAGGTGCTTTATGCCGCACAGGAGTGTAAGGAAGCAATTCTCTTCAAATTGTGAATGTCTCTGTTTCCAGCTTATGTAGTTCTTTTCAGAAGTTGCTCCTGGCTGTATTTATCTTTGTCTCTTCACAAAGCAAAATGGTTGTGCATGCCCATGCATAGGAAAGGCAGCTGGAAAAATCTTCCGTAGGTTTGAAGAGAAATATTTTTCATTTTCACACATGGTGTAGGGCCTCTTTCTAATGCTTTATACAACTAATGAAAGGGAATATTAATGACAGAGAATTCAAAATATTTCAAACTGCCAAGCAGTCTGCAAAAACAGGACTGGATTATATCAACGGCTTATCTAACTCATTACTTAGTCTTCACTAAGGGACATAGAGGTTCAAAAGCAAAATGCCAGCAGAAATGCTACCTCCCACATGTGTATGTGTGCACATGTGAGTTTTCTCTCTTGAAAATGAGAAAAATGAATTAAAAAACTGAGCAAGTCAAAATGAAATATTTGAGACACTGACCAACATAAAGAGAGTGGGGTCCAGTCATTTAAAGGATACATCAAAAATAAAAATAAAAACCTGTAAAATGCTTATGAAAATCTAGAAAATATAAACAATATACTATAAGGTAAAAACAACGAAAAGCATATTTTAAAAAAAAGAATCTAAAAGAAGTGGTAGGAGAATTACATGGTTGCAGGAGAGCGTAAAAGGTGAGTATGTGGAAAACTGGATCTACCAAGTAACAAAGCACTTTAATAACATGGTAAACTAGATGGTCAAGAAATCTAGTTTATTGGAACAGGTCATCATCGGATGAATTTTGAGTGCTGCTGCCCAGAGCCTGGAGATATATATTGAGGCAGGATTGGTATCCAAAACTAACAGGGTGATATAAAATTGGTCAGTAAATCCTGGGTATTTGTACCAAAGTTGTAAGCAAGAATTCTTTATCAAAAAATCCCTCTTCGCATTACATTTTTTAAAAACACAAATGAAAATGCTGAACAGTTTGTTTTGTTGGAGTACCATTAAATTACCTTAATCTGGTGAATAAGAAAGAAAATCAGTTCAAACATGACATGTAAATTTAGGAGTCCATCTCCTGAGCACTTTGATGTTAAAATTAAAAAAACCAATAAAATGTGTATAAAAAAAGAGTCAATTAAGCAATACTTTGTTGTAATTTTGTTCACCATGGTATCAAGACTTTTTCATCTTTTACAACCATCTTTGGCTTAAACAAAAATTATTGTCTATTCATTGCTTCATTATACACATTATTTAATTCTGTCTAATTTCTTCTACTTCAATATATTGGCAAATGTAAATGATATTACATTCTAATGTTTTAATTTATAACCAATGTGTAGATCACTAATTTGAGTTATCACTAAAATAATTTTTAAAAAATTCACCTCTATTTTTATTTGGAAAAATTATATTTTGAGGATATATTAATAGCAAATTGATTAGGTTGCAGTATAGCTTATTCCTAATGTGAGCACATTTGTCACTCTATAGTAAACACATAAACATTTCTGCCTAGAAGAAGAAATAGTATTGATTTAGGCACCATATGGTTTTAATCAATTCTAGACAGTTCACATCATAAAAACAATATATACACATTACAATATATTTACAAACAAAAAAAGAGCATGTTGCAAATATACTGTTAAAACTTCCAGCTGTGTTAAAAATTTAAATGTATATTAAATAAGAACACTGAGTGCTTAAAACGCAGGGTTGATATTGATATGGTCAACTATTTATATCTTATATAAGAAGAACTCATAAAAATGGTCTGTTTCAAACAAAATGGCATTTTGCAGCTGTTGAGGATATGCCCAAAATAGCCCAATCATTTTGCGCATCAGACAGTGACTACAATTGTGCAAGGCAGCCCAAAGAGGTGCTTTATGCCGCACAGGAGTGTAAGGAAGCATCTCTCTTCAAATTGCAAATGCCTCTGTTTCCAGCTTATGTAGTTCTTTTCAGAAGGTTTGAAGGTGTAGGGCCTCTTTCTAATGCTTTATACAGCTAATGAAAGGGAATATTAATGACAGGGAATTCAAAACATTTCAGGCCTCCAAACCTATTTTGTGGTATAGCTGCAAAAACAGTCTGCAAAAATAGGGCTGAACTATATCAACAGCTTATCTAACTCATTATTTAGTCTTCACTAAAGGGAGCAAAGGTTGAAAAGCATGATGTCAGTGGAAATGCAACCTCCCACATGTGTTTGTGTGCACATGTGAATTTTCTCTCTTGAAAATGAGAAACCTCAAAAAATGTATTAAAAAACTGAGCAAGTCAAAATGAAATATTTGAGACACTGACCAACATAAAGAGGGTGGGGTCCGGTCATTTAAAAGATACATCAAAAATAAAAAAAACTATAAAATGCTTATGAAAATCTAGAATATATAAACAATATACTATAAAGTAAAAATAATGAAAAGCATATTTTAAAAATGAGTATCCAAAACTAACAGGGTGATATAAAATTGGTCAGTAAATCCTGGGTATTTGTATCAAAGTTGTAAGCAAGAATTCTTTATCAAAAAAATCCCTCTTCGCATTACATTTTTTAAAAACACAAATGAAAATGCTGAACAGTTTGTTTTGCTGGAGTACCATTAAATTACCTTAATCTGGTGAATAAGAAAGAAAATCAGTTCAAACATGACATGTAAATTTAGGAGTCCATCTCCTCCACACAGCACATGTTGCATCAGCCTCAATGCAAACATCCTTCCAGAGGGATTCTGAAATAAATTCAAGACTATGCTTCTATCATCTGGGAGATACTGCAAGGAACTGGCATCAAAGCTAGTTCTTGGAAGACTTGATGTTCTGGTGGCATTCGATATCTGACCTTTTTCCAGAAGGAACTATTTGCAGAAGAAGAGTCTTTCTTTGTGATGTCCCCTTTCCATCTGATAGCTCCCTGCTTTTGCTTGATGTATCTAATGGACTCTGGCATGTGGCTGTAATCCTTTATCTTATTCATTTCGATCAGGATAGTTTTCATTCCATCGGGTATAAGAGCGTGATACACTGCTATATTCTGCTCAGGAGCTTCTTCTGAGCTGGACAACCCAGGTACTAGAATCATTATCAGCCTCCTGCTTTGCCCAATGGCTTCATCAACAACGTTGACTAATGCTATAAATCACCACAGATAAAGATTGCATCAGATGTTAATATCCACAAACATATTCTCTTGTTTTGAATACACATGGATTTCAAATGACACAATAATGGACCAAAAACAAAGCCTAGAATTAAGATAATTTCTATAATACTGGTGCCTGAAATATAGCCTTCTTAAAAAATATAAAACAGAAAATACAGGGTTTATTATTGTTATTTTCTTTACTCAGATATGCATGTACAAATTTATTGTAAAGGAAAAATAGTTATATTAGCACTTCACCCACAGTTTAGTTTAGTATCTAGTTTTATAGTAATAAGAATGGATTATTTTATTATGTTACATAAGATTCTACTGTAAAAATGGCTTAATGATTATATTAAAATCATTTCTCATTTGTAAACTTAACACTTTCATGCTGCTTTCAAATATTAGTTGACTAAAATTTGATCTTAATTGTAGAGAACTTTATGTTACTTAAGTAAAAAAAAGAAGTTAAGAATATCAAGGGCTATTTTTTGTTTATTATTATGTGCATGTTTTTATTGCTTTATATATGCTTACTTTGTATGTCACTATGATTATTTAATATTTATATTAACAAATAACATAAAATTTACCCACTTTTTAGTAGCAGAAATGTTCCTTCTTTAATCATTCTGCCCATCATCCCCATTTTTTAAAAAAAAAAAATCTGCCTTTGTTTTCATATGGTATAAAATGCTGCATGAATTGAAAAGAACTTTAAGATTTTGGACTACCTAAATAATTATTTCCATTGTATCTGACTATGTGCATAGACCACTTGACAATTTGTATAGCTGCTGTCAGTGAGATGGGCAGTCTCAAAATTCAATACATAAAAATAAAATAAATAGTAAATAAGGAACATCAGACTGAAAGTTACATTTTACCTTTTCCTGGCAAATCATCCCTGCCGGGTATAAAGAGACTGTATCCATACTGTTTTTCCAGAACATCAGGAAGTACTTTCAGTACAAAGTCAACTTGGCTGCTGATTTTTGGATATAACACATATGCATCATAGATTTTTCCATCTGAAACTGACAATATAAGACAAAACTGCTTCAGAAATTATTAACAACCTCCATCCCCAATACATGAAACGGCTGCAAGTAGGATTTATTCCAGAACAAACCATGTCTGGTTTTATATCGGATGACTGATGAATGTAACAAATGGGCATCTATATCAGTGTTTCTCAACTATGGCAATTTTAAGATGTGTGGACTTTAACTTGCAAGACTCTCAAGTTTAAGCTGAGAAATACTGGGAGTTGAAGTCTAATATCTTAAACTTGTCAATGCTCAGAGCTTGAGCAGTGCAATAGAAATGAATTACAAAGAAATAGCAATTCCTATAACATTTTAAATAACCGTTATATACAAAATGTTAAATTGCAATTATCAGTTCTTCAGCTGCTATTGGTCTTCATATGCATTGAGTTTTTCCTAACTTACGATATCATAATGTATCACCTAGTATAAATGTGCATCCAAACAGTGTGGCTTTTGTAAATGACTGATGGAACATGTTGTCAATGCAGGGATTTTTTTAAAGTGCTGTCCAAGACTTTTAGTATGATACCCAATGTCCCAATAATCACTGATTATCATCATCATTATTAAAAAGATTTCAGAAGTTAGAACTTGCCCTGTCATCTTTCCTATCTTCAGAAGTTATGGCTATCAACCATGTTTAACCACAATTATTTATTTGTCAGCATGTTTTTTTCAGTCCAAGGAATTTTCACTTGAGGTACAAATGAACAGCTTCAAGTTACCCTACTTTGGTCATATTACAACAAAGACCTAGTCTCAGGAAAAGACTCCAAGTCTGGAAAAAGAGGATGGAAAGAAGAAGAAGACAGCAACATACAGCAATAAGGTGGATGGACTCAGGTATAGCAATTATGAGTCACTACTGGAAGATCTAAATGACCAGGCTGCGGTCAGATAGTCATGGAGAAAAACTATCTATATGATATCTAAGAGTCAATACTGACTTGATGATATGTAATAAATCAATATGACTTTACAAACAGTGTTACCTTTTTTATGAAGAAAAGAGCGACATGATTTCCGATACCAAAGGACAATTTCAATCTTGAACAAGATGCAGATTAATACAGGTATAATCAGTAGAAATATCAACAAAACAAAAGCTGTATGGTTTTTGGCTAAATCAGAAAAAAAAATAGTTACATTAAATGAGTATTCCATGAAATGGTTAGAATAATGATTAGCATTTGGAAATCACTGAGCCAAATTTGTCTTTCCTCAGGAAGTATTATTGTCTTGATTTCTAGTTCAAAGAAGATGAGATAAAAATCATGTGTGGTATGTTAAGGAAAGTAATTGTGGTATTGGCCAACCAGAAAATATATTTGTATCAAAGGGCTAATCCAGATTCAGTTTTCTACAAATTTAAAGTCATTAAATATTAGGATTCTATATGGTCTTAAATTACATCGAACACAAAATCAGCAGTATTTTACACAGAGGAAATATCACCCCTTTCTACTCTGCTAATGCCTTTAATCTAATCTATGAAAGGAACAAGGGAACTTTGGCATCGTATTCCATCACTCTTTGAGTTGCAGTCACTGGCATTCATTCAGGACAGCTCCTTTAAGATCTTAGTACAGGTAGTCCTTGACTTAAAACAGTTCATTTATTGGCCAACCAGAAAATATATTTGTATCAAAGGGCTAATCCAGATTCAGTTTTCTACAAATTTAAAATCATTAAATATTAGGATGTTGCAGCATCCCCAGGCTCACGTGCTCAAAATTCAGATGCTTGGCAAATGGATCATATTTATGACAGTTAAAGTGGATTATATGATCCCCTTTTGTGACCTTCTGACAAGCAAAGTCAATGGGGAAGCCAGATTCACTTAACAACTGTGTGATTAATTTAATAACTGCAGTGATTCACTTGACAACTGTGGCAAGAAAGATTGCAAAATGGAGGAAAATTCACTTAACAACTGTCTTACTTAGCAACAGAAATTTTGGACTCAGTTGTGGTCATAAGTCAAGGACTACCTGTAACTTAGAAGACTTCCCATTTTTATCCCTGCTTTGGTTTGATGTGTTTGCTATATTCTATGTGGTAAAATTACAGCAGTCTAAATGAAAAAAAGGAAACACATTTTAAGCCTTTGGGTGTAATCCAAGCAATTTAAGTACAACTTGAATTGAATAGAATTCCCTAAGGTTGAAATTCTACGCATACCAGAACACATTTTATAACAAACTTGTGTGGCTTGCTTTCCAATAAATGCACAGAATGTCTCCATTTCATTCTATTTCTCACTTCCATATTCAATATTTCAGAGGCTGAAATGCTGCAGCAATATTTCATTATTTGTAGTTATATCTTTTCCCTTTCTTCTGTTCTAGATTTGCATTCTTCACAGTAAGACTCATTTAGATATCACATATAAAATGGCATACTTGGACGCTGTATTTTGATGTATGCTGCAACTTCCCCTGCATGGCAAATAAAGTGCTGATCATAATCTTCATTTTTCAACTCTGTAATGTTCAGAGACACCGTAAAAATCTCTGTTCCTTCCTTTGGAATACTTGTTCTGTATTAAAATTGAAGTATATTAGAAGTTCAGATTTAAGTTAGGCTGTAAAGAATTGTCGTGTATTTATTCAGCGTAAAGATTCAGGTTCAAAATCTCAATGTTTTATGCCAGAAAGACTACCTACTGTATATCATCTACTCTTTGGACTGTTTCACATGTGCCAAGAATTGATATCATACGTGCTATGCCGTATACAGTGCCCATTCAAACTGCTTATGCCTTATGTGGTTAATTGCAAAGATGTTCTGTCTGAATTTCATTACTGATACAATAGACAGAATATTCAATAGTAATAGTGGTGATCATCTGTAGCTCAGATATAGGATGAGGGTGAAGGTTCGTTCTCTGAGCTTGGGGGTTGGTTTCCAAACATTTTGTTACCAGGCTAGGTAACATCTTCAGCAGAATTTAGGGGATGTCAGTGTCAATGTTCTTCTTTTCATAAGGACTTCAGGTGTGGGTGTGTCAATGCTACCACCCGTCACGCTTTTGAGTTCATGAAAGCCTGACACTCCATAAACAATTCCATCAACAGACACATCGATCTACAACCAGCCTACAAACCCTCAAAATCGAAATCAACCACAAAGCCAATCAAAGACAGCACTGACTCTCAACCAATCCACGCAAGCTCCCTTCCCTCAACAGCAGTTCACCTCCCAATAACCCTGACCTGATGTAACCTCCCCATCACAAGACCCTCACTTGAAACACCCACAACTGAAGCCCTTATGAACAGAAGAACACTGATGTTGACATCCCCCAAAGTCTGCTGTATCTAGCCTAGTAATGAAACATTCAGAAACCAACCCACAAGCTTGGAGAATGAACCTTCACCCTCATATTCAATAGTCTATAATACAAAATATTCTGAAGTAATCATTGTGTGGTTTGTCAAAGTTGTTGAAGTTTGTCTTTGCAGCAGTTAATTAATGTATGAGCATTAACTCTATTGCAAAAGGAAAATAAATTGTACTTGATTATTTTATGCATTAAAATATATATCATACTTACTGATTTCCTTCTTGAATTCTACCTTTAAAGAGATCGTCAACTAGTGTATTATTGACTCTCCAGGATATAGAAATAAAAGTGTCTTTGAAACTTGATACATTACACTCTGTAAAGACACTGGATCCTAAAAATCAATATTAGAAAATAGTATTTTTTTAAATAACTATATTAATAAGTAAATATCATTTTTTTCTTCTCACCCACTCTGGATGCCATTGCATCATTGAGATTTAAATGTGTACAGACTGAAAATGATCACAAGTTTTATTGTTAATAATACTAATAATAATAATATAATGGCAGAGAACTTACCAATATCAGCTTCAATAGTATTGTTTATAGGGTACAGAATCTCAGGTCTTTTCCTCTCTTTTTTTTCTGACAGAAAAAAAATCATATATAAGCCTTTATGTTATAAATTCAAACATATGCAAAGGTCACATATTTAGATTCATTTAGGCCAAAAAATTTTTATGTAAGTTTTAGAATGTCAAAACACATTACAAAGATTCTCTTAGATGTACATAAACCCACAGATAGCTTGGTATATATAAATTCAATATCTGTAGCATTTTTATTCCAAAAAACATCCCAGTGGCTTTCATACAGTAACTTAAAAAAATAAAATATATTTTTTAAAAAACGTATCACATGACAAAAGGAATAGAGAAGGAAGAAAAGACAAAAGACATTCAGGCCCCAAAAAACAATTTTAAATACTATCCAGATGAATATTGGGACTACAATGCTTATGAAAATGATTCATAAGACAGCTTTGGAATTTCAGCAAGTACTGTATCTCACTGCCATTTACTGAAGAAGCCCATCTTTTTCCAGATTTAAAAAATCAGCCTTATTGCAACTTTCCTGCAATTCTTGTGAAGAAATCTTTAAAAAGAGAAACTACTTTATTGATTAGCAAAGGGGGGCTGTGCTTCTCTGAAGTCCAAACTAATGATAACACAATGGAGCAGGTGACAAAAGAAACATAGCATTGCAAACTCTGCCTCTATCCTATTGAACATGCACTTGATATCACAACGGAAGTAGGAAATGGTGAAAATGGCATTGTGCCATCCTAATGTCACATTGGTGTCACTGTGGTTAGTAGGAGATGCCTATGGCCTAAAGCAATTCTTATGAATCATTTTGATGTGTGAACAGTTTAGATGCAGCTCAGGAATATCATAATGGATTTAGTCTTTTAACAAGGCTGATTTAATAGCCGTCACTACTTTCTTTCCCTTTGAGCTGAGGTGGCACAGTGGTTAGAATGCAGTACTGCAGGCTGATTCTGCTGACTGCCGGCTGCCAGCAGTTCGGCAGTTTGAGTTTCATCGGCTCAAGGTTGATTCAGCCTTCCATCCTTCTGAGGTCGGTAAAATAAGGACCCAGATTGTTGGGGGCAATATGCTGATTCTGTAAACCACTTAGAGAGGGCTGTAAAGCACTGTAAAGTGGTATATAAGTAAGTGCTATTGCTATAACCTATTATAAAAGAGCCAAGGTGGCGCAGCAGTTAGAGTGCAATACTGCAGGCCACTTTAGCTGACTGTGTTCAGCAGGTCAGCGGTTCAAATCTCACCGGCTCAAGGTTGACTCAGCCTTCCATCCTTCCGGGGTAGGTAAAATGAGGACCCAGATTGTTGGGGGCAATGTAAATATATATATATATATACATTGCTTACTGGTATACACCGCTTAGAGAGTGCTTGCACTTAAAGCGGTATATAAGTCTCATAAATAAATAAATAAATAAACCTAATGAAGGGCAGACTGATAGAAGAGTCAGTACTGTTATTTCCAATATTTAAATAGATAACAGTGCTTGCCCCTAAACTACTATCCCTAAGGCATTAAACAAATCAGCTTCTTCATATTATTCAGTGCAAGAGCATAGGTTTTACAACAAATGGAGAGATTGTAAAAACCCTTTGTATTAGAAGTATGTTTGGAACATGGAACTATTGTTTGCATTGCTGATAATTTACACACATACACCACACACTACCACCACACTGTGTATATGGTGTATATAAACTGTGTGTGTATATACAAATATAGATATAATTATATGGTCACCCATCTCAAAACAATGTTAGGTGGCATACAAAAATTAAAACCAAATTTTACAAACAATAATCCAGGATGCCTAATTGTTGTAATTCCCCATCCTCAACCAGAGCAACAGAAGGTAACACCTATGATAAAGCTTGATTTATCTAAATACATTATTATCTCAAAGATTATAAAAAGAACCAACTAATTTTTATTTAAACAATGTTCATGCTGGCATGACAATTGAACTTCTAATACTTTAAATTGTAATAAAAAAGGATTAATCTGTTGTAAACGATATTTAATTTTGAATTCTCCCCTGCAGTTGCATTCATTATATACACTAACATTGATTAAAAGGACATTTGGAATATTAAATGTTGTTTGAGATTATGTGTATAATAACAATGGCACAACACGTGTCCCAATTGCTAGATAGAGATGAATATATAACATGATCATTTTGAAAATGGCATTAAATCTCTTTTGAAATATGGTAAAATAAATATAAGTAAGCAGACAGAAAAAAGAGTGGAAAACATTAGCTGTCCACATAATATAGGAGGAAATTACAATAACACAAATACTTACCTAATAATGTCACCAAAATACTATTTGAAAAATTGTATTTATTTCCCTTAAAAGTATAGGTTCCTTTGCATACATATTTTCCCCCATCATCTTTTTTTATATCTTTCATAATAAGATGGTTTCTGAAGAACTCAAATCGTTCTCCTTGTATTGGCTTACATTCCTAAATATAATAAAGTAAAACATTTTTAATGACAAAAAGGGGAAAAATTGTCCTTAAATTGTAGCATACTTCAATAGGCCTGCCAATCACACCCATACATACTTATCAGTATATAAATTTGATTACTCTGTGTATATGTATCTCCACATACATGCACTTAGCTGTTCTTTGTTCATAATCTGGGTTACTGGACATCCAGATAATAACAGTGGTAAGTGGAGCCTTTCCCCAGCTTTTGATGATTAACTGATTATGTCTCTGCCTAGAACAGGAAACTTGCTTTTAGTGATACATGTGCAAATAACCTCAAGATTTGGTTTCTAAAATGTGTTATTAGTAGGGTAACCACAGAAGGTTGTCAGAAATTGCAGCTGGTCAAGAAGGCGGCAGCAAAGGTAACAAGTGGCATTGGAAGACCCTTATGTTGAAACAACAATATTAATTGCCACTTGCCTTCTGAGTTCAATGCAAGGTGTTTTGCTTTAAGGGGGCATTCAAAGTCAAATGAGAGGGAGGGAGGGAGGGAGAGATGGCCTTTTTGTGATAGGAATCATACATAGTATGAAATGTTACTATTACCGGTGTTGAGGCTAGCACATTCCTTTTTACAGCTTAGGAAAGGGCTTAAAACAGTTTACTTGGGACTTTTAGAGTGCTAGAAGCTGTAGTGTTTTAACATAGCATCTGAGAATTTTATATATTATTTATGTATTCTTGTAAGACGGACAGAGCAATTTGAACGATAGCATATAAATGTACTCGTTCAAATTGCTCTGTCCGTCTTACAAGAATACATAAATAATATATAAAATTCTCAGATGCTATGTTAAAACACTACGATAGCATATAAATGTACTCTAAAAAGCAGAGACATCACCCTGCCAACAAAAGTACGCATAGTCCAGGCCATGGTTTTCCCAGTTGCAATGTATGGCTGTGAAAGTTGGACCATAAGAAAGGCTGAGCGCAAAAGAATTGAGGCCTTTGAACTGTGGTGCTGGAGAAGACTCCTGCGAGTCCCTTGGACTGCAAGGCGTTCAAACCGGTCAGTCCTAGAAGAGATCAACCCCGACTGCTCTTTAGAAGGCCAGATCCTGAAGTTGAAACTCAAGTACTTTGGCCACCTAATGAGAAGGAAGGATTCACTGGAGAAGAGCCTAATGCTGGGAAAGATTGAGGGCAATAGAAGAAGGGGACGACAGAGAATGAGATGGCTGGATGGAGTCACTGAAGCAGTAGGTGTGAATTTAAATGGACTCCAGAAGATGGTAGAGGACAGGAAGACCTGGAGGAATGTTGTCCATGGGGTCGCGACGGGTCGGACACGACTTCGCAATTAACAACAATATAAATGTACTACATACATTTATTAACCTGATTTATTCTGTGTGTGTGTGTGTGTGTGTGTGTGTGTGTGAGAGAGAGAGAGAGAGAGAGAGAGAGAGAGAGAGAGAGAGAGAGAGAGAGAGAGAGAGAGAGAGAGATTGAGAGTGTAGGGTATTGTGGACAATTGAAAGAATATCTCAGAGAAGGTTGTATTCTTCATGTAGTCACCAAGAATTGAATTCAGTTTGTGGGCCTTTATTCTATAGACATACAAATACACTGATTTTGAACAAAGAGGCATGTAATTTTCATTTTTCTTTTTTATTATTCTCAATGTTTGTGTTTTTGGAGAACTTCTGTTTCTAGCTTTCCTCTTAGCAGCTCTTTGACCTGGATTATACAGAATATAAGTGGTCCACAGACCTTGAAAGATCACAGCAGAGGCAATTCAAACTGAAGGAATCAGTCTTTAAATTCAGTGAGCAATGAATCATAATTTCACCTGCTGTTAACTTCTTCAAAGCTCCTGCCTGCCACTGTGCTAATACAGTATTACAAAGGAAAAGCAACACACGGGATAATTGTTAATATTCAATTAACACTCAGTTAAAAAAATTACAGAAGGAGGAATTTTAAAAGATCTGTACCTTATACCAATGGATAGACGAATAATCTACTTCCTGTCCAAATTCATTCAGTTGATGACACACAATCCTGGATGGTGCTTTTGGAAACAAATTTTGCTTAAGGTAGTATTCTTTGTTAAAACAAAGACTAGCACTGTTATTGAGAACTGCAATTGGGATGCTGTACTTATAACATCTTTTTGAATTCCTATAATTAAACATTAAAATGTTAAAATTATTTTTTTGTACAGTACAATTCTATTTTCTGTCAAAACTTTGTCTTTTATTTTCTTATTCATTATTACCACCATGTACAAAACTATTAACCAGGCAACTAGTGAATCATCACTTAGTCCAAGTCTGAGGTTAAAATCATTCCCATTTAGATCAATATCTATAAAAATGGATGCAAAATATACATTTTTTTCTGTTTATTGTTATTTTTAGTTCTTTAAAACATAAGCTGTGCCTGGTTTCTTTGGAATTGGGAAGACTTTAAATATAATAAAAAATAAAAGCAAATAGATAAAAAAAATATTCAAAAAAAGCTCATTGTTGAGGAAGAATGTAAATTTTGAATAAAATTACTTTGCATCCATCCACTACCAAATTCATTACTTTAGCCATGAATGGAGGCAGAAGGCAAGTGGGCTATGTAAGATGTATGTTAGATGAAAATATAAGGTGTATTTTTTAACGGTTCTGTGGAGAGAGACTTTTCCACGGACCAGAGGATGCATGGCTTTGTGTGCTGCCTGCATCTGGCGGATGGGGCTTTGCTTGTTTGAGCGAACCGATTGCTGGCATGGTGCGGCCTGGTACTGGTCCACAGACCAGGGGTTGGGGACCTCTGCTTTAAAACATAAGCTGTGCCAGGTTGTTTTGGAATCGGGAAGACTTTAAATATAATAAAAAAACAAAAACAAATAGACAAAAAAATATTTGTGGGTATCTCAAATGCTGTTGGAGAAAAATGCTCATCATTTAGGAAGAATGTAAATTTTAAATAAAATTACTTTAAGTCCTTCCACTATCAAATTCACTACCTTAACCATGGATGGAGGCAGAGGGCAAAAGTGTATTTTTTTAATGGGCCATCTTCCTTGATTCAAACTAGTACTTTTAATAAGGAGTATTATTTGAGTTGGCAGTACGATGGGACTGTGCTGGAATTTTGCATTATATTTAAAGTCCATCCTCTATGTATGGGTTGCTTATTTCTTGCCTGGGAATGGACGTTTATCTGTAGTCTGAGGATCTTCTGATTCAGAGATCAGAGGCATAGTTCTTTTCCTGTTTTCTTTAAGCTTAAGTTCCTCATTTACAAGATGAGTTCTTTTTTTTCTAAAAGAACAATAAATGTTTTAACTTCCCTGAAATGTTGGAAAGCTATTAGAAGATTGCGGCAGTAGGTATGGAGGTTAAAACAGAGTGTAACCCTCAGTGCTAATGATGAATGAGATAGTTCATCAATGAAGTGGAGATGACCAATTCTACATTCTGCTGGTGAACTAGCAGTGATCAAGTAAAAGTACAACCCAGTATATGCTATGGTACCCATTTTATGGAACAAGTTCCCATGCACAAAACATATCAACCTACAACCAGAATTAAGAATGCAGTGGGTTTTTTTCAAGAAACTTATTTAGTCAAAAGCAGCATAGACTTAGAAGAGTGGTCATGCAATTTTAAAGAAGGTTTGATGGTAGCATGAAATATAGTATTGATATTCCAAATGTCATCTCCCCAAAACTTCTCAGTTTGATATTATAACATCTCAGTGCTAATGCACAATGCCCTTCCAACAAGAAAGAAACATCTGGCAAGGGTATATTTCAAATTCTCAATAAACTAAGAGTCATGGTGGCTCAGTGATTAGAATGGAGTATTACAGGCTAATTCTGTCAACTGCCAGCAGTTCGATCCTGACAGGCTTAAGGTTGACTCATCCTTCGATCCTTCCGAGTGGGTAAATGAGGACCCAGGTTGTTGGGGGAGATATGCTGACTCTGTAAACTGGTTAGAAAGGGTTGTAAAGCACTATTAAGTGATATATATATGTCTCAGTGCTACTGTTATTGCTAAATTATTGTCCCCTGTAGAAATTGCTGTCAACAATCCTGAGGACTTTATAGCCAACAATAAAATTATATGAAATATCATTAGCCTATAGAAAGTGCTGGGACTGCTGAAAAAAAATCCTATAGAAAAGCATCTTCTACCTACAGGAAAGCTATGGTTTTTCTGTTGTTTATGTGATCAATTGTTTCCCTAATTTTGGTGCTCCAATAAAGGAGCCATCAACAGATTGATGGAATTTTGTTATGATCTACACACAGTCAAGTGCCTGATTTACACTATACCAGTGGTTCTCAACCTGTGGGTCGGGACCCCATTTGGGGTCGAACAACCATTTCATGCGGGTCGCCAAACAATGCAGTCCGCCATTTTTTCCCCTTTTCCTTAGCTGTGCTACTCCCTTTTATTCTATTGGCTTTTGAAAGCCAATAGAATAGACTCTCTTGAATAGAGTCTAATTCTATTGGCTTTCAAAAGCCAATAGGAATTGTCCAGGCTGTCTCTGCCCTGCTGAGCCCGCCAAAAGTCCCATTCTGCAAACGGTGCTGCACCAGTTGAGTAGTCCTCGACTTACGACAAGTTGGGGGTCACGGCATTAAAAAGGTTGAGAACCACTGCACTATACACTACAGACTAAAGGAGACCAATTAAAATAGAGCTGGCACCATTACTAACCACCAGTTAACTGATAATCCCCAAGGACCCTTCAATCATGAATCAATCCCACAAAATTCAAATTTTACACAATTATAAATACTGCAAGGTGATCCCCACTTCTCAATCCTTGCTCTGAGGAAGCCTTGCCAGAACATAAGGTGGCACTTTTGCACAAAAACCCTGGTATCTTCTTTAGTATATATCTTGCTAAGCTTGGATAACTCCAACTACAGTTTAAATTTCAAATGATGTACCAAAATACAACCACCCCCTCCACTCCCAGAACCAGTAAATACAATTCCTTACCTTATAATACATTGATACAATCCTGAATCTTGAGCTATGGCAGGGATAAACCAGAGGCTGGTTTTCTCTTGGAATACTCTTGAAAGAGGCTGTGTAATTAAAGGTGTGCCATTTCCATTCATGTACCAGTTCAGGGTAGAGTTTGGAATTCTGTCCAATGGGCAGTCAAGCCTAAAAGGATTGTTTTCTTCAAACACCTTCTGCTTTCTAATATCTTCCTGGACAACACATTTCTCTACATGGAGAGGGGGAAATCATTGGGTTTCAAACTATACATACACTAAATCCACTATTTAGGAAAAAAAAACACTCTTCAGCAAAATCAAATCATATTGATTTGATCACTTTGTAGGAGATCCTAAGCACCTCTTGTAAAGTCTGTTGCAGCCCTTGGGCTAAACAAACTCATACTTAATGTTCCAAGACTTTTTTTTTGCAGATACTTTTTTGGGGAATGCTTTTGTAGTATTCTGTTTTGCAAATTATTGACATGCAAGTTTAGCTACTTAGTATGGCTGTTCAAAAGCAAGTCACATTTCATTCAATGGACCTTTCTCTCAGGGAGGTTGTGATAGGACTTTAGCCTTTGTCTTATTTTGCTTATGACTGAAACTTGCAGTTTCCATCATTTATAGCTTGCAACATAAATTAAGAAAGTCCACTGAAGAAAATTTTTGTATCCCCTTAACTTCTACACAGTCACTTTTGCTTGCCCAACATTTAGGATGGAGCAGCAGAGAATCTTATCCAGCTTTTAGACAAAAAAAGATCAGGGCTTTTATAAAAAGAAACTTCCTCAATTTAATTTGCCTGGGATCCATGCTGTTAAGCTTTTCCATTTTTCTCAAAAATATTAATAAACACTTCAATATCTCAAGCATGAAAAAGTGCTACAATGAATGTGCTTATACAGGTAGTCCTTGACTTACCACAGTTCATTTAGTCACAATGACATGGGAAAAAGTGACTTACACGGTCATGCGATCAAAATTCAGATGCTTGGCAACTGACACATGTTTATGACATTTGCAGTGTGCCAGGGCCAAGTGATCACCTTTTGCAACCTTCTGACAAGCAAAGTCAATAGGGAAGCCAGATTCACTTAACAACTGTGTTACTAATTTAACAACTGCAATGATTCAGTGTGGCAAGAAAGATCATAAAAAGGGACAAAATTCACTTAACAAATATCTCACTTAACTACAGAAAGTTTGGGCTCAGTTGTGGTCATAAGTCGAGGACTACCTGTAATCACAATCCTAATTCTGCCACAAAACCACTCTGAAACCTCCGCATAAAGATTTCATTCACTATTATGACTCCTTTGTGGCCCGTGGTATATTAGAACTGCGCAAAAAGAATAGATCAAGTCAGCATTGCAAAGCTAACTACAACAAGGATCTAAACACAAATCTAAAGTTACCTTTCTCTTCATGAAATAGCATATCAGAAACCCACTTTGAAATTGATTCTATTGGCTAGACCTGTGTTTCTCAAACTTGCCAATTTTAAAATGTGTGGAATTCAATTACCACGCTGGCTGGGGGATTTTAGGAGTTGAAGTCCCTGTATTATAAACTGTCATGTTTGAGAAACACTGAGATAAACTCTTTAATAAACCCCTGCTTACAAAAATAGCATAGCTCATTTTACACTTATTTTATACAACTGTACCAGAGTTTGTAATTCAAATCAATTTTAAAAGAAAAGTAAAAGCTTACATCTAATAACCAGGGTAATTATCATAAATACAATCATTCCTTTTTTCTGACTGAACATTCACTGAGTATTTGAAAAAGCTGTTTACAAGAAACTCACCTGATTTGAATACACAGATAAATGAGAGGACTAGAATACAGTAATCAGCTAAAGCAGGTTTCATGTTTTACCTGCACAAAAAGGAAAGAAGCAAAAGACTCAATACATTCAAGCTATAGCTGATACGTTTCTCTTTTCAATTCTTATCATTTACAAGAAACCTTGCTGTTTCTTCATTTTCCCCTCCACACAAACACACATCCCCCAAAAATGCCAGTAACAGAATTAAGTAAGACATCTCTGGATAATTTACTTTGTCAGGGAACTTAAATGTTTTCTTTTAGTATTTTTTCCTTTTAATGAATTTATTCAAGATTTAAAAAGTTAAACAAAAAAGATACAAAATTGTATCTTACAAAAGTACATGGAGTCTTAATTCAGCTGTTATAATTTGCCTGATGATTAAAGAGAGTTACAGCTTATTATTATTAATTTATTTAAATATACTAGCTGCCCAACTCCCATATCTTTACTAGCTGCTCAAAAGTAAGTCAATTCAAAACATTTACTCTCTCTGTTAATTAACTAAAATGTTGCTGTTTTGAATGTATAATATTTTATTATCTGTTATTTTATGTTCACGTAATATAACAAACTAGCGTTATTAGTGCCTAGTTTCATTTAAAACTAAAATATTGTCTACTTGCTGAAAGTTATTAATCACAGAGGATTTATAGATAATGCCAAATCTCCTGCATTCCTAGAATATACACTACTACTGGTAAAATGTACAATACTCCTAAAATGAATTGGACACATTTCTACAATTTGTACAAATTGTCTAGAAAACTGGAATATTATGTCCATGTTCAGACATCAGTTAGAAACACAGTCTATTTAAATAAAAACCTATGAATTTTAAAATATACCAATATATCTAATTATGCAATTATTTTGGCAAAATAGGCAATCCCATTACTGTATAAGAAAATCTATTTATGTTTCAAAAGTAAAGGGATTTATATAAATACAGCACAATAGGATTGTAGCCTATTGTGAAAGCTATTTTCTAAATACTGTGGTTTATTATGCTGTCGTTTGATAGATAACGATAAACTGATGTATAATATTAAAATCTACTAACTTGAGAAAAAAGGAAGCCACTAAATAAGGTTTTTTTTTAAATGGTGACTATTTATGGTGAAACCCCGTAGTCTTATTTTCCCCCGGAAATGCCCTGATAACTCTACATAAAACTTGTATATGGAAATGCAAGAGGACAGGTAATACTTTGAAACAACAATCCGTATGCTTGTTTCCGAGTAGGTGAACCGCTTTTCGCTTTTTAATTTTGGGCGGAAAATATGACTGCCCTCTGATTTGCATAATTCTTTATCTCTGTAAAAAGAGCTTTTCGGAGACACAGAAACCTATAGATTTTCTGCTGGTAAACTTTGCCTCCGGAAGGAAGCTCTCAAAACCAGCACCCTCAGGAAAGAGGTAGAAACCTAGAAGAGGGAGCGCGAAACAGCTGCTTCTTTTCCTATTAAACCCGCTCTACCAGTTTTCCTGGTAAAGAAAGCATCTGAGCTCAGCGCACAGACAAATTCAGTGTTGCGGAAACAGAAAAAAAGATTTGCGCTAAATCTCCCTCTCCCTCCCTCCCCCTCTCTCTGTATCATCTATCTATTTATCCATCTATCCACCCATCCATCCTCTTGAAGGCGCCCTCAGTACGTTTGGAGAAGATTGGGAGTTTCTTCCTGATGTGTACCAGAACATGAAATGGGTCGCATATAAATTTAAACAAATAAACAATTGTTTGAAAGTCCCCACTCACCACCCCTCGATTCCCAGTCCCAAGTATTTCAGACACACGTCCTGAACAAGAACAATCTTAAGGTACCATGAAGATGGATAAAAAGATGATTCCCTCAAGTGGAACTTAGCTGTAAATTCCATGGGTATGTCCACTCTGATTTTCAGGTAACACAAAGGAAGTGTTTTGCCATTGCCTCCTTCTTGGGTGATTTCTCGACTTCCACTGGGTGATTTTCTGGTTGTCTCCCATCCAAACGGTAATTGGCACCGACCTTCCGGATTTTGAGTAGCCTGCCAAGATCGGCCCAGTGCGCCGCCTCGAGCGGCATAAACGCGAGCGCTTGATCCACCAGGAGGACTGCAAAGTGGGCCGGGCCGGAAGGCGGGGGTGAAAAACAGGAATGAAGAGGAATCTCAGCCTCGCTCTGAATGCCGGAGACGAAGCACTTGAGAGCACCGAGAAATAGCAGTAAGAAAGCAAAAGGTCGTTTTGCCCAACATTTGGATTGGGGGGGGGAGGATTTTCCTGAGCCACCTAACGTTACGGAAAGCATTTTTCTGAGTTCTTTGATGGGAAATTGCGCCATATTGCGCACACAGAAGTTGCTGTTGCAACCTCGGATAATACACTTGCACTCCAAGGTCGAACAACTTCCGCGGCTCCTCTTTCCAGCGGCTCGCTCCGCCTCCGCCCGGCCCAGAGCAGCGGCGCAGAAGTGGCGGCGGAAGGAGGCCCCCAGTCGCGGCTTTGGCGGGAACGAACAAATCGACTCCACTAGGAAGCTCACCTTCCTTGCGATCAAGTCGAGCCCTGGGCAAGGCTGTCAGTTGGCGCGCAGTAGAAATTACGCGCGCAAAACAGGGGGAGGGGGGGAAGGGTAAAATTTCGCAGGAGCCCTACCGGTCTATTTCGCTTAAATAACGCATATTATCCCGAAATATTGTAAGCAGTTTCGTTCCATGCTAGCTATTCCGCACATCCGTTGATAAAGAAAGTGGAGCGTAGCCAGAAGTTCATAATTATGCTGCACTGTGAAGGTTCCTGTTGGATCCCCTGCTTGACTAAGCTGTTTAGGCTTGCGAGCGCTGTCTTTTCTCCCACTCTCCCTTTCAACTGGATTCTCTTCTTCCCCCTTTGCGCTGTCAGATCTGGGAGAGCGACCTACTTGTCTGCTTCGGCCTCCTGGAAAATGAAGCCCTCGTCAAGGCTGCTGAGAAAATTTTGGAGCCCTGTAAGAGCGACTGGATCGTTTTTCCAACAGACGTCCAGATAGCTGCCATTCTATTACTTTAGATCCAAGAATATGTGTTCCGATGAAGTGGCATTGTCAATCAGTTCTAGAGTGGAAGCCTAGGTATTCCCTAAAAACTAATTGATGGCATATTGTGATGCTCTTAAGATTCCAAAATGCCTTCCTGGACTCTATAGACACATTCATTGATATTGTAGATAAAATGCTTGGTGACTGATATGAAATATGCTTGGAATTTGTCCATTTTGCAGACAAATTCTTTGTACAAAGTAATCAAAGACCTTTTATAAACATTGGCCTGACTGTTTTCACCAAACTAGCTTGATGTTTATGATAGCTGAATCTTCCACAAGCTGTTTTACAAAAACTAATTTTCCCAACACACTGTGTACATTATCTCTGCTTTCAATTAGATTTGCAGGAATCAATTTGATTTGAATAATTAAACTTAACTTTTATTAAACTAGTAACAATTAAATTACTCAATGGTATTGGCAGTTATATAGATGCAGGCACTTTCTGACTGCCTTTTTACAAAATGTTTTTAAGATTTACAAATTGAGCCTGCTTAGGTTTTGGAGATCTGCCAGGATTACCTAGATTACCTAGAGGTGCCAGGATGTCAAGCATAATTCCTGTGAATTTTATAATTCCTGATTATTCTTCAGTAAAGGTTTGGATTTGTTTCAGTTGCTTTTTTGCACTTTTCTGATATTCTCTCAAGATAAAATCATTATAAACAGTTGCCCAAATATTACAATATAGCAATAGCAATAGTGCTTAGACTTATATACCGCTTCACAGTGCTTTACAGTCTTCTCTAAGGGGTTTAAAGAGTCAGCGTATTGCCTCCAACAATTTGGATCCTCATTTTACCAACCTCAGAAGGATGGAAGGCTGAGTTAACCTTGAGTCAGTCAGGATCAAATTGCTGGAAGTCAGCAAAGTTAGCCTGCAATATTGCATTCTAACTACTGCTTAGAGCAGCGGTTCTCAGCCTATGGGTCGCGACCCCATTTGGGGTCAAACGACCATTTTACGGGGGTCGCCAAACAACGCCATCCGCCATTTCCCCCCCTCGGGGTGCCGCCGCGCATGCGCATGGGGGCAGCAGCGCACATGCGCGCTGTGTCCATGTGACCGGGGGTCGCCGTATAAAAAGGTTGAGAACCACTGGCTTAGAGAGTGCTATAAGGCATGTGGAGAAAGGGTTAAGATACAAAATGTTGAAAATTATTATACCAGATCACTTCTACTCCTTTTCTAAGACAACACCACAGCTTAAACAATAACACAGGAAAAATTCTCCTATCTCCCTCACATTCTTCACAACCAAAGAATTTTTAGAATCAAGTCCACATAAAGCATGAAGTAGTTTTTATGTAAAGTATTGGGATGAGCATTAATAATGACAAAGATTTCAACTGACAGGTCTCTTGTATCCAAAATCTTGTAGATCTTTTCAGATGGATACATAATTTAGTACATAACGATACTATTTATGAAAATTTCATATAATAGTATTTTCTCATTCAGGTTTTCAAAAGCCTCTGATACGGTGGTTTTAATTTTTTTTATATCTTTGTCAGTTGATTTTATTCTTCAGGTACCTTTCTCAGGTCACTTGTGAGTGTTGCAGCACATTATCCAACAAAGTCACAAAGATTTCATAGGAATAACTTTATTTTGTGGTTATAAGATTTATTTATTTGTTTATATTTATATTTCACATTTCTGAATTACTTATCTCCCTCAAGGAGAGACTGAGCAATGTACAATAAAATATCAATATACAAAATAGTATATAAATATTAAAATGTTAAAATTAAAATTTTAAAATTAAAAATTATAAAAAAAATTAAGCAGGCAAGAATAATTAAACTGTTATATATTAATTGACAAAGGCAAAACTCCCATGGCACCAATCAACCCCATGACACAAGGCCTCAGAACCATGTTTTGATCCCTTTTATCATAAAATAGTATGAGAGCCAATGTAGTATATTTGTTAAGGCATCCGGCTAGATATCAGGAGATTGTGAGTTCTAGTCCCATCTTAGCCACAAAGCCAAAGTGACTTTGGCCAGTCACTTTCTCTCAACCTGAGGCAGTGGCAAACCACTTCAAAAAATACAAGCAAGTATTGTATAGACAGTTGTTCAAAAGCAGAAAGCAAAGAACCCCACTTGGGATATCCAATCTCATCAACTCACAGCCATAAAGGCTGTTTTTCAGTGGAAATTCTAGGAAGGATACCAGTTAAAGGAAGGACTAGAACTCACTCTTAAAAAGCTTGAGATACAAGGATTAAATCCTTGCTAATAGCTATAATGAACTTCAGTGCTGGATCAGTATTTACTATTTTGCTCAAACCCTTGGGGTTTAGATTAAAACTCTTTCATATAAAGTTTTCATATAAAAATAGCTCCTTACATACTCACTTATTTTGCATGTAAAATAATAGTATGCAAGAACAATTTCAACTTCGTGTCAAGCATTCACATTATTTTGCCACTTGCCCAAGTAGCTCATGCACCTCACGGTGAATGGTCTTTCAGAAAATACTGCTCTGAATTGTGTTTTTGTTGATCTCAGACTTGGAACAATCTCTAGCAGGTGCACATGTTTGTGTATCCATAAGGATCTACTGGAATAGATTTCAGGTAAACACTGCAGGTGTGGCTTTTGACATCATCCATCTGATATCTGAGAAGAGTGAAAATGTATTGGCAAAAAATGCAAGTCTGAAGAAAGTGTGCTTGGGCTGGCTGGCATCTGGTATCTCACATTCTTCCAAAACCTTGTAGTTGCCATTTCAGTGGTTTCTGTAAAAGTTCCCCTCCATGTGAGTATGCCATGCTTTTGCTTAAGATATCTGAGGGATTCTGGCATACTATTGAAATCTTTTATTTTGTCTAGCTGAATCAGTATAACTTTGGTTTCCTCCTGGATAAGAGCACTGTAGACTGCAAGTTCCTGTTCAGAGAACAAACTCTGCATGCCACCACAATATAAATCTGGCATTAAAATAATGATCACTCTTCTGCTTAGTTTGACCATTTTATCCACAATAGTAATGACAGCTATAAATAAAAAAAAAACCTGAATCAATATGGGCCAGGAAAGACATACATTTTAATCAGGTACCAATTAGAAAAATTGTTTAATTTTATATACATGGATAGTGTTTCTTGAATCTAAAGAAGTGAACTGAATTGAATTGAATCATCTCAATTCCTAATGACTTCATGGACACCTCTCCCAAATTTTCTTGGTAACAACATGGAAATGGTTTGCAATTGCTTTCTTCTGAAAAATATTGTCTAGTCTACACAGACAAATAAGTAATCCATTATTACCTAGTAATGCATCACATCTAACTTTCCTTGTCTGGCCAAAAATATCATAGCAGATAGAACATACAAAGAACCCAAATACAAAGACAAGGCAGATGTCTCCAAGGCTAGTCATTTCTAATGACACTTTTTCAAAATCACCCAAAGACATTAGGAGACATTTCTCCAGGTAGACATGTTGTTTAAACAATTAAGCAATAGTGTGGAAAAGAAAGGGACACAACCAGACTAGTGTCCTCTCTTAATTCTTTTATCCTTCTCCACATCATTTATTAATCTTTTTTACTACAGTATATACAATTCTAAATAATGCAATGTTGGTCTTATAAGCAATATTCCCATTTCCATTTTGGGCCTTCTGTACTAGCATTCGGCAAAGTTCTCAACAGATTGAAGATGGGAAGTTTGTCTAGCCAGATTGAATCAATCAAAGATAACTAAAGTTTTGAGAATGATACAAGAATTATCTGTGCAAATTGTCATTCTGTCTAAAGAAAATCTACCTAGAAAATCATCACTGCAGATGAATACAAAATTGGCAAACATTGCTCATAAGCTGCTAACTTTCCTGCAAATTAGGGCGAACTCATAATTTAGCTTCAATGAGGGCAAGCCATCACTTTCATGAACACAAGATACTTTTTGTGCAACAATTTAACTTCTTATTGTCCAGGTATTTTTAAATCAATGGCAAGAAAATTATAACTCCTAATTTTGTTTGTAAACTGCACTATCCCTGGGTAGTCTCACTAAAGTCAATTCTATTTTATCAAATACAGTTTTGGAAATCTATCCATTTCCACAGAACTCATTTTCCACCAATAATTATGCCCTAATCCTTGAATGTATATGAAGTTCTAATTCATTGTAACTGGAATCCTTTCTTATCCATATATTCCCCAAGGGACACAACTGTATTTGTTCTCAAAGTAGAGCATGTTTTAAACCCCAATCAGAAATGCTATAATACAAGCTCTGCCACCAGATCAACATTTCAAAGCATTTACTTATGAGTAAATAACAATTATTTACAATTTACAATTTAAGTAACAATTTACAAATTCTAAACACGGATATTAAAATTACATACCTTGCCCTGGCACATCATCCCTTCCAAGAATAAAAAGTTTATAGCCACACTGCTTTTCTAGGATTTCAGGTAATAATTTGAAGACAAAATTTTCAGTCAAATATACATAGCCTGATATATTGTGAGGATATAACACATATGCATCATAGACTTTTTCATCTGAAACTAGAAGGAAAGAGAAAAACCAACTCTAACCAAGACATTTATAGGGATAATTTATTATAGAAATTTACATTTCATGTACCTGAATTACTAGCTAAGGCAATAAATACATTTGGCTAAAAGACATAAAAAGACATCTAACTTGTGGAGATTAATATTAGATCAATGATTACAGGTATTTGGGAAGTCAATTTTGGGCTGGTTGGAATGGGTTAAGCCTGGCAATTGAAACAGCAGAATTAAAACATCAGGCCAGCAGCACTTCAAAATTTGAAACTTACTAAAGCTTCCTGAATAATCTAGTATTAACACTATCTTGGCTTAGTTTACTGGGTTGTTAGAAAGCTAATAAGTAAGAATGCTGTATGTATGTTATAACTAAAATTCTTTACAGGAAAGCCAAGACACTAATGAAAATCCAATACAGTATCGCATTTTTCAGACTACAGCTTAAACAAAGTATAACTATTCAAATAATTTTCTCCATTCCTTTCATTCCTGACATAATACTAATGTCATTTAGTGCCATTTTGGAGCACAGAAATATCTGCAATAAGTAAGTATGTAAATCATCAATATTTTATGCCTTTAAGTCAGTGTTAACTTCCAATGACTGCCTGGGCAAGTATTGCAGAGTTTACAAGGTAATATACAAAGACTATATCAGTTGATTGATATCAGTACACAGTACAATATTTTATATAAGTTTTATTTTCTTATATTTTTCTGCCCTTCCCTAACCACACAAGACAAGAGATTAGAGTGTGGAAAAGTCTAAATCTTGTCCTCTTCATTTTGTTTTGTTTTTAATTGAGAAAAAAATACATAAAATTCAAAACTATAGGTCAAAAATTCTACTTGTAAACAAAATCAGTAGATAAGACAACCAAGGAATTCCAGTTCTGTCATTCACCTTGATTTCTTTCTCTTTATTAAACTATGAATGAAATAGATAAGTTCTTTGTTTCTAAGTTCGACTCCTATAAATAAATGCAGTAAGGCTAACATTTCAATCCTTTGTTTAGTGATGTTACTAATCTCCCCAAAATTTTACACCAAAAGGGTATTGCTTTTTCACATGACCACAACTGAAAAAAAAAATGCTCCCTTTTTTTTACTCTCCAATATTTGGAAGAATAATTTTGAGATTTTATATCTCTCTCTATATATATATAAATATATATATAATAAGAAAATAAGAATAAGAAATCTTTTATATATGTGTAATAAGAAGATATAGATAGATAGATAGATAGACAGACAGACAGACAGACAGACAGACAGACAGACAGATAACCTTTATTGTCATTTTTACTATGGGCACATTGGCACACATTAAAAATGAAATTTAGTTGCTTGCTCTCAAAAGTGTACACATACATAACACACATTTACAACATATATATAAGCTTTCACCCTTACATATAAATAACATATACCGTAAATATTAATCATTGTGTCATGGTTCTGGTAGATGAGACCAATTAAAAGAACTTCAAGGCAAGGAATTCTTCCTCAAATAATATTTTTATTTGGCTACAAAATAACGGCACATACAAAGGTGAACCCAAGACTAAATTCCCCTCCCCTTGGTTACAAAGTTACAAGTTGCAGTTCCCACCCCAATTAGATGTCATAAATCACATTCACCAATTAGTAAAAACCGGGGCACTCCTCCCAGCTCTCCAGCCCACCAAAATGCTATCAGTAATGACCTTGGTTCCCATACATGAAATTGTTTTGGCTAACACAGAACTATACCCCCTCCCTCCTTCTTTCTAAATATGTGGCAACCAAAAACGAAATGAAAATGGCTTCAGTTCAGGTCGTTGCAGTGTTGGCACACTGTCTATCTTGAATACATAACAGAAGTAGGCTCACTGTTCACAAATTTTATCATTTATTCAAAAACACAGGCTTTTTATATAAGACAAAAAGGCTTCTCTCCCTCAGGAACTATAGTATTTGTCTGTAACTCATAGAATGAGTTGAAGTGGCAAGGTTGCCCCCTGCTGTCTGACTAACTATTCCCAGAAGTATGGTAGAGCTTAATCCAAAGGTGCTTTTCTAAAATTGGACTTTTTTTTTTTTTTTTTGGTGTTTTTCTTCTGCAAGTTTAAGGTTCCAGAATGTGTCCAGAATGTAAACTTCAAAGCATCAGGATGTGTCCAGAATGTAAACTTTAAAGTTCAGGTTCTGGACAGAGAACTGATTTGAAAGAGGAGTCAAAGAGACCATCTATGTTAAAACAGACCTCCCAACAGAGGGGGAGGGATATAATACCACCTATCTCCTATTTATAAAACAGTTCTTTCAGCAGTGCCAAGAAGATTCCATACCTATTTGCACTCTGACTCAGGTGATTCCAAGGATATAGATGAATCCCCAAGTGGCCTCAATGACTTGGATGAGAAATGTATCAAGAAAAAACCCAAGAAAGTCCAAGTGCCTTTTGGAAAAGTAATTTTGGGACAACCATGATCTGGATGATTTAGAATCTCCACAGACACTCAAGAGATTAAATTCCACAAGATTTATAATCAACAATTCAATATTGGAACACTTAAGGGAACCCACAATTCTTAATTCATCAATGCAATCACAAACATTAAAGTTACAAAAGTATGTTCTTTGTATTAACAAAAAGTTGTAATCTAGTCACTTGGAGCAGAAATGGTAGGGCAAAAAGTCAAAGAAAAGTTGCAAACTGTTTAGAAAGCATCAAAACCTTTATTCTTTATCACAGGGCATCAAATGAGTGAAGCTGAACTTACTTCCTTTCCTGAGATGTTGGCAAGAATCCCGGTACCAAAGGACAATGTCAACTTTGAAAAATTTGTAAGTAAGCAGTGATGCTACTATAATAAACAATGCTGAAATCAATCCTCCGATCACATAATACTGAGTGTTTGGAGCTGTATTGGCAAAGAAAAAAGAAAGAAAGGAAAGGAAAACAACAGGGAACATTCTTACCACAGTAAGTCCCATAAGATGTTTATAAGATGAGCAATTTATACAATTTCTACTTTACTTTCATTTTTCTAAGCAAATTCTCATAAAATATTTTATTCTTTTGAAAAGAGGCTTCTGATGTCTGAAAGATTATCCAAGTAACACCTTTTATTTCCAAATAAAGATGATTAAGCTGATGATGCTTGGCATTACTTTTCATCATAGCTTTTAAAGTTTATTTATTCTTGTAAATGATAGGTCATTCAGTCTCAAAAATATTTATATATGATACAAAAATAAAATAACAAAGCATAATAATACTACAAAGTCAATAGCAAAATAAACTTTTCAGTCCATTAGCAGTTGTATCAATTGCTTTCTATAGGAAGGAAACCCCTGATACCATCAAACTCCAAAAAGCTTTCTAGGTTGATATTGATCTGATCTTAGATGGAGCATTGGTTCAAAAAGGCATATGCGCCATCTTCTTCATTTAATCTTTCCTCTGGATGTTTTCATGGGCATTATCTTCTTACAGAAGAGAAGCCAACTGAATATCACTTGTGGAAAGCACTAGCAATAACCTCTAGCAACGTTATCCAACTCTGACTTACCTGGCCTTCCTAACGAACCCCAAGTATTTCTAGATAAAACAAGTGTCAACACTTCCTTTTTTTTTTTTTTTTTTGAGATAGTGACATTTTTCTCCATTAGGCTATGGAATTAAGCAGAGCTTTACAAGATGAAAATACCTCTGCAAACAATGTTTTTTTTATTTATACACAATTCAGTATCCATAATGTAATAAAATATGATGTATTATTTTAACTGGTTATGTGGCTATCATTTGCAAACATCCCCCTCCCTTACCATTTGGGTTCAATGACTGTTTCTAGATTAGAATAAGTACAAGTTTACTGCGACCATCCCAGAGTACTATCTAATATTATGTGAAACTTCGGAATCTCAGCCTCATCGAAAAGAAATGTGTTTATAACAGAGTACATAAAAATTCTTATAGATATTTGTTTGTCTTTATAACCAAGCAAAGCACCTTTTCTTTCTATTATGTAAACATACTTTTAGGTAGATAAAAAATATACAGACCTATAGACTTATACATAAAGCTACCTGGATAGTTTAGCATTACATATGCTACTTGTGTCACATGTTTAGACCATACTTCACATAAATATTTTCCATAATCTCTGTATTTCACTTTGGAAATGTTTAACTTTGCTTCTATTATTCGTTTTCCAGAAAGAACCCTAACAACACCAAAATATAAACAGAAAAAGAAAAGAAGAAAAAAATTAAGGAAAATTATTTTGATTTATATGAAATTGGGTCATGCTTAGCTTCTTAATTTAAATAAATTAATTAAGTTAAATGTATTCAAAATAGAAATTTAGATCTTGTCATTTGCTCAGTATTAAAGCAAAGCCTCAGCTTCTGTTTCCCTCACATACAGCACCTAGTTACCAAGATTTACTGTGGCATAACAATATCCGGATAATGTAATATAAGAAAAATGAAATATTTTTCATTAAATATATCTGTATAATACTATCTATTCTTGTGCAACAGTGCACCTATTGTCTAAAACTAAATAACTTCACTTATCTAAAATTTATCTGTTTATTCTCTCTTAAGTTGGCACTGTGGACATAAAACTTCTATATGTCACTGGAAGTCAGGCAATATAAAAAATTAATAATTGTTATTTTATTATTATTACTATTAATACTTATAAAACACTTATAAGCTGAATCAGGCCTGGTACAGTTAAGAATGTGATCATAATAATATATTCTTCTTTTTTAGCACATCATTGCTGTTGCTTTTAATTTTTCTGTCTTGCCCAATTCTAATGACTGAAGGAGCCTGATTTTCTTAGGATCTAGTTCACAGGTCGGCAACCTGCAGCCCTGGAGCCGCCTGAGGCTCTTTGAGCCTTCTTCTGCGGTGCCCAGCTTCCTCTGCCATTTGCAGAGACAGAGACAGAGAGAGGCACTTGCGCTTCCCTGCTTCCCCCCTCACTCTGTGTGTGTGTAAAAAAGAGTGGCCTCATGCTGTTCCAACGAGCTGACAAGCTTATTGGGCGGGGCTCCTCCCTTTGCTGCATCTTTGCAGGAAGGACAGGAGAGAGCCAGCCCAATAATGTGTGTCAGCTTGTTGGAGAAGAGCCTGAAGCCAGCTTGCCATATGAGCAGAAGATCGGAGGGGGGGGCAGAGAGAGAAGGGGGGAAGAGAGAAAGAGAGAGAGGGAGAGAGAGAAAGGGAGAGAGAGAAAAGAGAGAGGGAGAGGAAAGAGAGAGAAAGAGAGAGAGGGACTAAAGAGAGAGATGGGGAGAGAGGGGGAGAGGAGAGAGAAAGAGAGAGACGGAGAGGAAAGAAAGAGAGCAAGAGAGAGACAGAGAGAGAGAGAGAACTCATGCACAGCAGCCTCTATTTTTTTTTAATTAAACTCTTCAATCAAGGTCCCCACTCCTTATGTGTGTGTGTGCGCGTGCACACACACAAGTTTTGCAGCTCCCAGTGTTTTCTTTTCTCTGGGCCCAAGTGGCTCTTTGAGTGTTTAAGGTTGCATACCCTGATCTAGTTTATCTGCCTTTATTTATATTTTATTTATCAAATGTATATGGGTACCCATCTCACAAGAAGTACTTTTGTACTGAGTGACTGGGTTGGGTCAAAAATACTGGAAATTCACAAAACATATGCAGATTTCAATTGAAAGAAACATACCAGATGCACAGTTTAAAAATACAATTCCAGTTAGCTTCTGGAATAAATACTCAGATCCCCAAGATAGGTAGCTCCATTTTACTATAAAATGTCTGCAAAGTACTAAGAAGTACATTTTAGGAAATCCTATTGGTGTTGTACATTGGTGCACTATTACTAAATCAACAAGCTATTGCAGCTAAATGAATTTATTTCACAATGAGGCTTGCTTCATATTTATATAGATATCTAACCCTCAGCATGGAATGAAATGTAATAATCTGAAACTCCCTAGAAAATGACATATTGTACTTACTTATCGTTTTCATCTGTGTTTAATATCTCATTATTGAATTTCCAGGTTACAATTACCATATAATCCAGAGGATCAGCTGAGACATTACAAACCAGGTCAAATCTGGAACCTGCAAATCACAAATAATGATAGTGGGTGAATAATAACATTTTACAGTTTGCCTAGGACTGTTAAAAACAGTTTATTTTTCAAATGAAGTAATTACTTACCTGGTTTTACTTCAATTGAGTTGTTATTTGGGTAAATTATATCTGGAATATTTTTCTTTGCTATTTCTAAAACAATAAAAATACTGAAAGTAACTATAAAATCTATTGCAATTCTACTTTAATTTTTAGGAATGAATTTTATTACCATAATTAGAGCTTTTAGTTACTAAAATGTTGTGCCAATACCTCATAGTTATATACCGTAATTGGAAAGCAATGATAGGATGAAAATGAAAACATGTACTTTGTTCTGAACATACTTAGATTCTTTTAATGTAAATCTAATCATTTACATCAGGGGTCTCCAACCTGTTGGCCATTGGGCTGCAGGAATGGCTGGGGAGTGTGCGCACCCCCCACACTCATGCTAGCGTCCCCGTTTACGCATGCACAGGAGTGCTAGCACCACTGCCAGCGTCACGCGGGTGCTAACGACCTGTTTGAGCATGTGCACAGGCAATAGAAGCCCATTTGTGCATACATGTGGGCACTAGCAGCCCATTTGCAGGCACTAGTGGTCCGCCACCATTGTGCGCATGCACATTTCCATGCTCGACCCTTTCCCTCCGGGCCGCCAACCAGAAAGATTGGGGAGCTCTGATTTACATGATAACTGGTAGTACTGACAATTTGCTAAAATATTGGCAATATAATATGCTGAGAAGAATCTCAACCAAATATGTAGTATATAGTATCACAGATAGCGGGAATAATGTAACAAGGCTATATTACAAATTTAGGTTGCAGATTCCACAGATTAAAAAAAATTCAATTTATTTTATAAAATAAATTCTATTCTGCGATATATCAAGATGAAAATTACATACCAAAAGTAGTTAGATTAATAGCCCGTGAAATATTATATTCTTTTCCCATATATATATGTTTAGCCCTGCATATATAAATTCCTTCATCTTCCTTAGTTACATTTTTAATGAGAAGATAGTCTCCAGAACTCCTAAATTTCCAGTCTTCATATAAATGAAAATGGCATTCCTAAAACAAATAAGCAAATATTATAAGAATAGTTAATACCAAACTAAACTCTTTTATCAAACACATACTGTATAACCAAAAAAGAAAAATTAAATCAGTCAATTCCAGATCGGCAAGCTAAAGACAATTTTTCTACAAGACTAGTGAGCTGCAAATAACAAAAAAATCATAAATGTAAATTATGAACCAAAAGATTCTTGACATTTCTCAGGATATCACATTTATAGATTGATTTGATCTGATTTGTGTGCCACCCATCTCATCTAGAGGTGACTCTGGATGGCTAAAAATCAGTAAGCATTAAAATGATAAAATAATCATAATCACATGCTACACCTCAAATATTACCTTAATTATAATGGCAGTGTAGTACAGATGCCAGTGCCAAATGCTGTGTACCAAGGGCAGTAATTATTTTATAAATATTTCATGTAACAATATTAGCTGGAAAAAAGTAATTGTAGGGAACAATAAAGATTTAGAAGTAAGGAGAAATTTTCTGATGGTGAGAACAATTAATCAATGGAGCAGCTTGTCTCCCAGAGCTGTGAGGGTTTCATCACCGTAGGTTTTCAAAAATAGACTGGATAGCCATTTGACTGGGGTGGTATAAGGCTCCTGCCTTGAACCAGGGGCTGGATTAGAAGACATCTGAGGTCCTTTTCAGCCTTATGATTCTATGTTTATATTCATCATATTCTGTTATGATGGATATAAAGGAATGTAACAGTAGAATATTTGAGATAAAGTTGGAAATGATTTACAGTATATTTACAATTCATACCAGCTTGTTCTTAGAGTGTGATTGCAGACGGAGAATAGTTAAGCCTAGCTTTTGGTATGTATCTATTAATTTGAAGACTAAAGAGACGATAGCTGAGAAAGGTAAGCAATTAGATGATGTTAACCAAAATAACTCATAGCTAAAAATGAAGTTGAATGGATATAATATTTGTTCCAAAAGGCGATAACAACCCAATAAATATTCCAAAGGAATAACAGCAACTAAAACATTAAAACTAAATCACTGATGATATTACCTATTTGTGTAATAATTCAGAGACCACCAAGAACCCCACAATAAAACAGATTTAAATTTATTTATTTATATCCCGCCTTTATTTTTAATAAAGTTGGTGAACATATCCAGCACACCTTCCTCCTTCTATTACTTATTTGAAGACACCAAATATGGAAAGATGGATAACATATGGGAGAATAAGAAGGATACTGGGAAAGAAATGAAAACTAAAGAACATGAAACATGTTTGACCAAAGAAGAAAAAGAAGTCAGTGCCTTTATATCAGCATTGCAAAGACTTGAAAGCATATTTGAGGTTCATGTTGGAACTCCTCTTAAAAACTGTTAATTGAAGCCAAGCAATCTGGCTTCTAAATAATGTTAAAGATTATTATTTTATAACAGAAATAAAGTTTGGAATTACAATCAATACAATATTGCCTGAAAAATACATCAAAGATGAAGTGTCAGTATGATAAAAAGAGGGCCAACAGATTCTTGACATGACTTGCAGACAACTTGATCATATAAAAGGTGGAGGAGAAAATTAGATAATCAGCTACAGTGGACTTAATACTTACTCATGGTGAAAAAATTATTTTGGATGTGGAAGTTGCAGGAACCTTCTGAGAGAATGTCCATGTCATCTTGGAATTTACCCTACGATATTATCATACCATAGACAGAGCAAAATGAAGGCACTCATATTAGTGTTATGAATTAAAAAAAACTTACTCCCATAGGTAGAGGGAAAACATTGGAAAGATTCCATAGATAGAAATCCTGAATTGTAAAAATTGTAAAAAATCTGAGTTGAAAAATTCTGCAATACACAATATCAGAGAAGAAAAAGGAGAGGCACCCAGTGAAAACAATGAACTATTAGATAGAAACCTCATCTGAAATATTTGTTTATATATATTTTTGTTAAATAAGGATGAGAATGTTTATAGCTATTTACAGAGCCATTATGTAAGGGTAGGATAATTTATCAAGGTTTTTTTTATTTTTTATTTTCAGCATCCAGCTAGGATAGATCTTTTTTATGTTTAATGTTAGATGTTTATCTTTAATGTTGGGTTTTTAGTACACATTTCTTGTTGTTGTTACTGTTGTATGTTTTTTGGTTTTTTTCTGTTTTGTATTTTATTCCCATTGGTAAAACATTTTATATATATATATATATATATATATATATATATATATATATATATATATATATATATATATATATATATAAAAAAAGAAAAAAGAACTAACTGAGAAGCAAAATGGTCAAGTCTTTAGAAAAACATAAGGAGAGGCTTATAACAAAAGAAAAAAATCATAGAATAATCAGTGTCTGTAAGAATGAGTCTGGAAAGCTAAAACTCAGAATGTCCTGAGGCTGCAGTGAACACCATAGTTAACAAAAAAGGTTATTTGGTTATACATGGAGTAAGAGGAAATTCAAGTAAACAGCTGATTCAAAAGTTGTAGAACATGGCAGGATAGTGATTGCAAAATGGAAAAGATAAACTGCTTAATTGTTATTTTGCTTCTGTCTTGTGGAAAAGGACTTACCTTAAACCATTGTAAAGTAAGAGGAGCATTGTCATAATTTCTGAAATTATGAAGATCTGGACAAGTCAGCTTCCCATTGTATTTTAGTGGAACTTTCTGTTCAAAAACCATTCCTTTATTAAAACACAATCCAACACTGTTCTCAAACACTATTAGAGTTTTGTTAATTCTTGTGGAATTACTGTAATAAAAATGGTATCAATACTTCAGTTATTGTTATAAAATATATACAGCCACAAAGAGAGTGATTGGCATCAAGTTATCATTTAATATTTAGGAAAAAAACAATAAAATCAATTAAGAGTTGAATACACTTCTAAAAATATGAGCAGATCTTGGGCCAAGATACATTAGAGCAGAGATTAACAACTTTTTGTACTAATACAATTTCTTATATTTAATTTTCTAGTTTCAGGAAAATATATATATATCAGGAAAAATATATAAACAAATGAATAATAAATAGAACCAATAAACTTCTATTGTTCTAAAAAAATTAGCTAGAAATAAGATTCAAATCATTCAGAAGTGATTCCTCTCATTTAAGCATGTAAACTATTAGAGAGGCATGACCTACCAAGCATTGTTTGAACTCAAACTTTACACAATTAAAGCTAAAAATTAGAATCAATAAACATGGTAAAAAATTAATTTTATATTTTCTTCTCATTATTGAATTGTCTTCAATCACATTATAAATTCTTTCCATTTTCTAAATGCTAGAAGCAATGTGATTACTACTGTAATTATAATGTTAGAGTGAGATCAAATTATGTCTTTTCTTGTCAGTGGAGTTCATGGGAAATGTTAAGGGAAATCATAGTTTTTCACTTGGCTCAATCTCTATTTTAGAATTGTTCATATGGTGTACGTCCTTGATCTCCCACAGAAAAAGTGAGATATGTAGGTAGTCCTTGACTTACGACCACAACTGAGCCCAACATTTCCATCCCCATTTTATGACCTTTCTTGTTAATGAATCACAGTTGTTAAATTAGTAACAATTTACTAATTAGTAAATTAGTATGGCATCTATAGAAGACCAACAAAATTAGGTTAATGAATCTGCCTTCCCCATTGACTTTGCTTCTCAGAAGCTCACAAAATGTAACATGATCCAGGGACATTGAGCATCATAAATACATGCCAGTTGCCAAGCAACCGAATTTTGATCACATGATCATGGGGATGCTGCAACAGTCATAACTGTGAAAAATGGTCCTAAGTCAATATTTTCTGTGCCATTGTAACTTTGAATGGTCACTAAATGAACTATTGTAAATTGCGCACTACCTGTAAATGCAATGAATAAATAAATGAATAAATAAAGCGACTTACTAAGTGCACTGATATATTCCAGAATCTTCTAGTTTTGCAGGATAAAACCAAAGCAAGTTTGCTTGCTGATAAACCCGGGAGCAGTTATCTGTACTTATGGGTGCCTCAATATCATTTCTATACCAAGTCACAACATGGTTAGATTGGCTACCTTGTAGACAAGAGACAGTTCCTGGCTCTCCTTTAGGGAAAGAACTAATAAGATTCTCACCTAACAAATAAATAAATATACATTACTATTTGTACAACTATAAATATACATTAGTATTTGTATAATAGTGATTACAATAGTATAATTGCTATCTGGGTAGATTATCTATTTGAAATGTGTAAGCAGATCTACAATTATGGCATATATTTCTCGAATGTTCAAGCAGGTTTGAGTTATTCATTACTATAAAGGGAATATTTTGTTTACCAAAATTAAGCTACACAATTATACAAGTAACACTTTTTAAAGAACAATCACTGAATTGCTATGCAACATTCTCTTCTACTGTTTCTTGCATAATTTCATAATTTCAAATATTTCTAGAATGTATGATATGAATATTTAGCCTTATTTAACTCATATTATTCATTTGTCTAACTTAATACTAAAATTTAAAGCAAACATCTGTTCAAACTCAGAACGCTGAGATTATCTCTTCATAAGCATAAGCATGAAGTAGAAGCGTTCTGCAAAGATTAGTTAGCACTGGAATTGTAATACAGTATATAATACATATTAGGATAAGAAATAATTTATAATAATGCCATAGAAATATATTGCAGAATAATGCATAAAATCATATTACGGTAATAATAAAGAAAAGCCCAAATATGGGCAATCATATTTATCATGTACCAAACTGAGTCAGTAGGGAAATGTTCTAGGTTTTTAAAACAGCTGTATTCAAAGCATAAAAAAATCCCCTTAATGAAAGGTGGGATTATTGGAATTGAAGATGCAGTGGAAGATTTGACCAGAATATGACTACAGTATGGCATCTATAGAAGACCAACAAAATTAGAGAAATCTGGATAACAATTGTCGTGGGACAATGATTCTCTGTACTGGGTGAGAATGAGAAAGCAACTATGTAGAACTTGATTTCATATAAGCCTGTGGATTTGAATCACTGTATTTGATTACAAGGAAGAGTATATATAACCTTTTTCCTACCTTCATTTTCCATGAAGCAGCAGGAAAAAGATTATTTAGGTAGTGGAAAGAAATTAGGAGTGGCCTGTAATGATCTTATTCTCTAGAGCAGGGGTCCCCACCCCCCGGTCCACGGACCAGTACTGGGCCACGGCATGCCAGCAACCAGTCCGCACAAACAAGCAAAGCCCCATCCGCGAGATGCAGGCAGCACACAAAACCACGCACCCTCCGGTCCGCGGAAAAACCTCTCTCCATGGAACCAGTCCCTGGTGCCCAAAAGGTTGGGGATCTCTGCTTTAGAGTAGGCACGCACACCATCGCCCTAGTCCTAGGCCTTCAGCTGGGTTTTATAAAACCTTTTTGCTTTAGGCCTCTGCCGCTATGTGCAAAAAAAAAAAAAAGGTTCAATAAATCAATCAATTTCAACTTCTTGCGGGGAAAAAAAAGATCTTGCAAAGTTAGAATTGATTGATGGAACTTTTTAGTCCCACCCAGTCTTCCGTTACCACTGCAGCCATGCCCACCCAATTGGCCATGCCCACCCAATGGGCCACACCCAGCCAATGGGCCACACCCACCCGGCACTCGACGATGCATAAGTGGGTTTTGGGTTGCAGTTTGGGCACTCAGTCTCTAAAAGGTTTGCCATCACTGGTATAGGGTAAGGGTTGCCAACCCTGGTCCATGGACCAGTACTGGGCTACTTCCTTACCACCTGTTTCATTAGTGCACTTGGTATGGCACTCACTATTAAAAGCTTGATTTTGCTTGACAGCAAGGTTGATAATCTTATCTGCACACACATCTATGTTACATGCACTGATAACTCTATTAGTTTTAGATTGACGGTGACAGGAATGTTCTATATCTGCTCAGGCAGAAAGGTTGGACTAGAAGACCTCCAAGGTGTCTTCCAACTATTATTATTATTATTATTATTATTATTATTATTATTATTATTATTATTATTATTATTATTCTCAATCATCGCACAGTCAGCCAGATGTTCAGACTGGATTTGGCATTTTGTCTACCTATCGAGTCCTTACCCAGGACCTGGGATAGGCAGATGTGGATGTTTGATGGTATTACAGGTATTATTATTATTATTATTATTATTATTATTATTATTATTATTATTATTATTATTATTATTATTATTATTATATAGGACATTCCTGTCACTGGCAATCTAAAACTAATAGAGTTATCAGTGCAAGCAAAATCAAGCTTTTAATAGTGAGTGCCATACCAAGTGCACTAATGAAACAGGTGGTAAGGAAGTAGGGAAACTCAGACACCACACATGTTATGTAGAAAGTAAACACCAATAAACAGAGTGAATTACAAATTCAGGTAAATGAGGGCAGATATGATATTGTTACAATTACGGAAACTTGGTGGAATAAAACCCACAAATGGAACATACAGCTAGAGGGATTTAAATTATTTAAAAGAAACAGACCAAATAAAAGAGGATGTGGAGTTGCATTATATAAAAGAAACAACTACATCTCTACAGAAAGAGAACACAACAATGATAAAAACTGTATTGAATGTATTTGGGTCAATATAAAAGGGGGAAAATGATATTGCCATAGGTGTATACTATAGGCCACCCAATGAAACAGAGGAAATAGTTGAAGTTTTTGCTAGTCTGTTCTTCATATGTTGTAGCCTCCAGTCCCCTAATCAAGTGCTCTTCTCTGCATTTTTTCTAGAGTCTCAATATCTTTTTTATAATGTGGAGACCAAAATTGGTTGCAGTATTCTAGGTGTGGTCTTACTAAGGCTTTATAGAGTAGTATTAGTACCTCACGTGATCTTGATTGAATCCTCCTGTTAATGCAACTTAGGATTCCATTGGCTTTTTTGGCTGCCACCACACACTGTTGACTTATATTTAATTGATTGTCCACTAAGACTCTAAGATCCCTCTCACAGTTACTGCTATTAAGTCTGGTTTCACCCAATCTATATGTATATGTTTGGTTTTTCTTGCCTAAGCGTAAGACTTTACTTTTCTCCACATTGAATTTCATTTTGTTATATAGGCCCCAATATTCAAGTCTGTCAAGATCCATCTGGATCTTGAGCCTATCATCTAGGTTGTTGGCTATTCCTGGCATCTTTGTATCATCTGCAAATTTGATAAGTTCCCCTTTTATTCACTCATCTAAGTTGTTTATGAAGATGTTGAAGAGTACTGGGCCTAGGACAGAACCTTGTAGTATCCCACTGCTTACCTTCCTCTGTGTAGAATTAGTACCATTAAGGACTACTCATTGAATATGCTATGTTAACCAGTTAAAAATCCATCTGATGGTGATACTGTCTATCCCACTTTTTTTAGCTTTCCAAGAAGTAGGTTGTGGTCTACTTTGTCAAATGCCTTGCTGACGTCCAAATATATTCTGTCCACAGCATTTCGCTGGTCTACTAATTTAGTTACTTGGTCAAAAAATGAAATAAGATTGGTTTGGCATGATATGTTTTTAACAAACCCCTGCTGGCTTCTGGTTATAACGTTGTTTCTAGATGTTTGCAGATCTGTTTTTTTATTATCTTTTCCAGAATCTTCCCAGGTATTGATGTTAGGCTGATTGGTCTGTAGTTTCCTGGGTCTATTTTTTTTCTTTTTTTGAAGATGGGAAGGAGCGTTGGCTTACCTGAACGCCTTTTCTCAGCATGATGAAGAAGAATCCACCAATGGGTTATCATAGTCCTACTGCCCAATCAGACCAAGTTGTCAAGTTGTCACGCCTCCTCATTATCTGGGGACCTCCCAGTTTTCATCGACGGGCGAAGCCATTGACAACAGTACGACGTGATGACTCTCAAGCAGGTAGTAACGACAACTAACAGAACAACCATCCCACCCGGACCTGACTGACTTCTACTTAGGGAGGGCGTGGATTCTTCTTCATCATGCTGAGAAAAGGCGTTCAGGTAAGCCAACGCTCCTTCTCCAGCATGATTAAGAAGAATCCACCAATGGGACGTACCAAAGCTTCTCGAGTCCCTAAGGGTGGGAGTCAGTAGGGGCCGGGCCCCCAGATGGTGTGACTACTTGTTGTAGGATACGTCTACCAAAGGCGGCCTCAGCTGAAGCAAACTTGTCTAAACGGTAATGTCTAATGAATGGAGATGGCGACGACCATGTCGCCGCCCTGCATATGTCCTCAATGGACGCCTGTGTTGCCCACGCCGCAGTTGTAGCAGCACTGCGGGTAGAGTGAGCCGTCACATGAGGAGGAACTGGTAAGGCCAGGGAAACATAAGCGCTTGAAATACAGGCCCTTATCCACCTCCCTATGGTGGAAGCTGAAACCTTTTGCCCCATAGACGAAGGCTGAAAGGACACAAATAGAGTTTCTGACTTACGGAAGGGCTTAGTGCGCTTGATATAACATCGCAAGGCCCTCCTTACGTCCAAAGTGTGCCAGCGTTGTTCCAATTCATGTGACGGGTGAGGGCAAAAATTTGGGAGGATAACCTCCTGTGCCTTATGGAAAACCGTGTTAACCTTTGGAATAAATGAAGGGTCAAGCCTGAGAACTACCCTATCCTCGTGGAATGTGCATAGGTCTTTTCTAACCGAGAAGGCCGCTAACTCTGAAATGCGCCTGGCCGAGGTAATGGCAATGAGAAAGGAGACCTTGAATGACAAATGTCGTAATGAGCACATTTTGAGTGGTTCAAAAGGAGAAGATGTTAGAGCTTGAAGCACTCGGGGTAGGTTCCAGGAGGGATACCTGTGAATAACAGGCGGTCTGGTATTCGAGACCCCTTTAAGAAAAGCCCGAATGGCTGGATGTCTTGATAAGGAGTTCGAGGAGTCCCATGACAAAATTGAGGACAGGGCTGCTAACTGTCTGCGCAAAGTGTTGGGTGCCAACCTCTTGTTGACACCCTCCATTAAATATTCCAGGACCCTGGGAATCGTCACCTGTGATAGACTTATGTGTTCCTTATCACACCATTGACCGAAATGCTTCCACGTATGGTCATAAAGCCAGTTCGTTGCCAGTCTCCTGGCCGCCTGTATCATAGCAATCACCTCC